ATGCTTAAACCATGTCTCAATGCAGCTCAGCTCCATGCAGGGGCTCAGTAGTCACATGCAGACAGTGGCTGCTGTCCTGGCTAACACAGCTCCACATTCTCCATGGCTAGACATTGCCTAGGCCTTTCCCCAATGGACAAACTGGGTAAAGAAGACCTTTACAAAAGCATCAGCTAGAAAGTGTATTTATGTACCAACTTATGTGATTTTCAGCACTACACGAAAGTCACTAGAAGTTTCACCTTTGAAGAACAGAAGCTGGGAACCAGGGGGTTACAGGCCTCCCCCTTTCCTGCTGTCCCTTTCGTGGAAGAGGGCATCTTGGCACACTGAACACATACACTCACAGGCTTCTCTAGAACCTCCTAACTACTATCCTGGAGTGCACAGTTCATGCCAGCTCTGAATTTCCCTTTATCTCACCTTCCTTCAGAATTAATCAAGCTTCTAGAATCTGCAATGGGGCAGGCCGGTGAGACTCCTGCCTCAAGAAGAATACCAGAAGGCCCTGGGATACAATGAGGGAGACAGGGATCCTATAGAAGATAAATGACCTTGAACTTCAGGACCAGACTGTCTTGGTTCCCAACTCTACCACATATGGATCATGTGAGCTCTCCAAGCCTGGTTCCCTCATCTGTAAAATGGGGCTAATAAAAAATAGTAATGGCTCCTTGGAGTTGTTTGAGATAATGGGATCAATGTTGAAGACCTGGTATGCAGGACAGGGATGATGTGTAGCTCTCTGCCATCTGAAGGAGTCTCCCAGTCACCGATGAGCCACCACCTCACCTGCTAATTCTTCTGCCTCCCTGATGAAGACACTGTCAACACCCTTTACAGGTTAACTCGGCAGACCACCAGGGCATCTCAGATGGTTCCAGCACCTTTCTACCTGCAGCTAGTTCCCCAGGAAACACAATAGGCTTGCAAAGGGCTGGGGGCGGGAGTACTGCCTGGGCATTGAAGGTCCCAGGATGGACCCCTAAACAAGGTGGAATGGAGGTAGACAGAACAATATCCCAGCTTTCCTACTCCTGGAGTGACCTGGGGCACATTTGCATCCCTAGTCCTTTATTTTGAGACAAGGTTTCATTAAATTGCCCAGGCTGGACTCAGATTTGCAATCCTCCTGTCTCAGTCTCTGGAGTCCTTGGGATTACAGGCAAATACCACAGCACCCAGCGCCTGTACATTCTATGTGGTTCCTCAGAGGGTCCCTAGTGGGACTGTTCCCCAGTTGCTCTCAGTGGTAACCTGCTCATTATTAATGCACTCATATTAGCTGTCTACTCCCTATCTCCCCTCCCCATTCCCGCACCATGCATCCTGGGATTACCTCCTAAATAAACTGTGTATATCCAAATCCTTGTGTTGGGGTACTCTTCTGGGGTAATTCAAACCAAGACACTTCTATTTGCAGTGCCTTCCCATTCCTTCCATACATTCCATGGAAATCTCACTATCCTTCAAGATCAGCCTAAAGGCCCCCTCGTCTGAGAGGCCTTCCTGGTATGCTATCAGGAAAAATACACCTGCCAGGATGCTTCAGTGACAGGTGGCCACTTTTTCTTCTTACTGGCACCTCTGATACTTCACTTGTACGACAGGAGGATGTCTGGGGTATTTCTCACTGTTGGCTGAGCCCTCCTAATTACAGAGCTGAGTGTGCACAGAGGGCCTGCCACATCTTGGGTTCTCAGGAAACCTGTCAATTGCTGAAACTTTTACTACTAATAATAATTAACAATATTACTAACAATAATTAAAATCTACAATAATTAAAATAATTTAACAATAATTAAAATCTACTAAGCACTTGCTTTTTTGGGGGGGTTGAAACCACTAGCTTTACTACTGACCTACATCCCCCAGCCTTTTTCATTTTGAGAAAAGGTCTAAGTTGCTAAGGGTGGCCTTAAGCTTGCAATCCTCCTGCGTCAGCCTCATGAGTTGCTGATGATTACAGATGTATCTTCAATCCCCAGTACCAAAATGGAAAATAAGAAAAAGAGAAAGAAAAGCTAAAATGAAAGGATAAGAGATGTAGACAGGCTCATGGTCAGCTAACATAGACATGAGTTTTTGTTATTATTTTATTTTATTTTTTGGTACCAAAGATTGAACTCAGGGACTCTTAACTACCGAGCCACATCCTCAGCCCTTTATTATATTTTACTTAGAGATGGGGTCTCTGTGAGTTGTTTAGGGTTTCACTGCTGGGATTACAAGCTTGTACTACAGCACCCAGCTCTTGGTTTTTGTTTAATCATAGTACTGGAGATTGATCCCAGGGCCTCACATCCCAGGGCCTCACATCCCTACCACTGAGCTACATCCCCAACTTTTTTAATTTTATTTTTTCAATGTTCATCACAAGTGAAGGTATCAGTAGCCCTCCATGTTCCCTGAGCCCTAGAGAGCATGGGTAGAGGAGTGACTATAGAATCTACCAGGTGAGGAGCAGAATCAACAGGCCAGGTCCTCAGGGGTATCCTCAGATAGAGATGAAGAAGCTAAGAAACTTTCCTAGCAGAAATGACAATTGACCTAATAAGTAGTTCCTGATTTCCTCCTGCCCCTGGGGCCAGCTGCCCCCAGGCCCAGATTTGCAGCTACTCTGTAAACCTTTGCCCTCTCCAGGATCCTACACTACTCTGCCAGATCATCACTTATAGGACCCCACCACTCCATAAGCACTTTGTCCCCCTAATGACTAGCCTGGCCTTTCAAGTTAGACTTTACTGATTCACTAGGATAAAAAAGAAGGAGGATGAGGAAGAGGAGAAGACATAGAAGGAGGAAGAAGAGAAGGAGGAGGAGGAGGAAGAAGAAGAAGAAAAAGATGATATCTTAGAGATTAAAAAAAGAAGACTATAGCCAAACAACCTCAAAGAGTATACACTATGGGGCTGGGGTTGTGGCTCAGCGGTAGAGCGCTTGCCTAGCACATGTGAGGCCCTAGGTTCGATCCTCAGCACTACGTAAAAATAAATAAATAAAATAAAGGTGATGTGTCCAACTACAATTAAAAAATATTTTTTTAAAAAAGAGTATACTCTATAGGAGTCCATTATATTAAGTTCCAAAATAGGCAAGACAATTACGCTGTTAGAAGTTATGATAGTGGCTGCCCTCGGAGGCAAGGAGGTAATGACCTGGAGGAGGCAGGAAATATTCTGATTCCTATCTTGGATGCCAGGTGCATGAGCATATTCACTTTGTAAAAACTCCTAAATTCATTAATCTAGACACTTGTGATTTGTGTACTTTTCTAGATATATGTTACATTTTTCAACGAAAAGTTCACTTTAGAAAAATATTATAGCTGGGCACAGGGACTCATGCCTATAATCTCAGCACTCAGAAAACTGAGGCAAGAGGATCTCAAGTTTGAGGCCAGTCTCTGAAACTTAACAAGACTCTCAACAACCTAGTAAGACCCTCTCTCAAAATAACAAAATAAAAAAAAAAGGGGGCTAGGGATGTAGTTTAATGGTGAAGTGCCCCTGGGTTCAATCCCAGTAACAAAAGAAAAAGAAAAATATTTTAAATGAAAAAATTAAAAGGGTATCTTTTCATATATGCCAGTTCACTAAATTGGGAAACACTCTTCCCCTGCCAGGGAGGCAGCTCATGTCCAGTACCCTAAGAACAATAACATATGATAAAAACTATGAAAGAAAAATGGAATACAGAGGGCTTAAGAACAGCATTATGAGTGAGTGAGGAGCTGGGGAGTCCATCTGGAGGGTAGAGTGGGGTTTCTCCTAACTTAACCAAAATGCCAGGGAAAACTCTAAATTCTGAAAGGACTTGAGTGATCAGGGTCACTACACAGAGTAAATTCTATGAGGTTGTTAGAAGGGTAGGTGGCAACCTAGATGGGGCTGAAGGGGTTGAGATGAGATGGTTTAAATGAGATGGAATAGGAATTATGGAAATGGGTTAGGATGGGATGGGACGACCTGAGGGAGGTTCTGAGAGGATGAGATGGGATAGATGAGGGGAGGGTTAGGCTGGAATAGAAGAGGGATTTGACAACAGGGACCCAGATTGTGAAGGACTTTACATGAAGCTCATCCAACAGGAAATGAGGAGTCTGGATTTCCTTCTGCCAGAAGTTGGAAATTTTTTACCAAGGAAATGGCATCCTTAAAATTCTCCTCAAGGGATCACTGGGCAAAGGTGTGGACTATGGGCCACACCTAGTGGAGAAGCCTAGAGGCCAGATGTCTCTAAGATAAAACTAATGAGGCTTATGACCCATCAGAAGGGCTGGGAGTGAGGCCAAAGGGCATCCCTCCCCATTCTCTGTAACCTGGAGCTGGTAAGGACTCCGGCTCCACATTTCATAAGTCAGGAAATAGACTGGGGGTGTAGCTCAGTGGTAGAGCACTTGCCTCACATGGGTGAGGCACTGGGTTCCATCCCCAGCTCTGAAGAGGGGGGAAAAAAACGTCAGGAAACAGGAGGCCCAAATGGAAGATGCTTATTGACCAAGCTCACATAGGAGGCTCAGGTCAATTCTAAGTGAGCTGAGCCTTTTCTCTTTTGATCTCTTAGGAGGAACACAAATCTAAATACCAAGGCAGGCTTACTTCTCAAGAAAGAGGAATAAAGTACTTATAGTAAGACCACAGAATCACATTCCAGAAGTCAGGACCAGTCAGGGCTGAATTACAATATCCCCCAGCATTTGTTTCATGCATCATAATTCTCAGAATCCTTTGCTTTGAGACTCACCAGCACTTATATCATTATCCCCATTTTATAGGGGCAAAAAGAGGCCACAGGAGGCAGTTTGCTTGGCATGCTGGCAGGGAGTAGAGTCAGGAAACGAACCCAGATGGGCTGGCACCAAATACTCAGTCTACGTGACCTTTCCAGAAATAGGACCCTGCTCCACACTTCTGAGTTGGTTCTTAGAGGGGAAAGGTACAGGAACTCTTGGCCCAAAAACATAGGCTTAATAGCAAAGCACACGGCCCCAGCCTTACCTGTGTGTGTGCGGACATGCCTCTTCAGGTCAAAGGTGTCGTTGAAGCCCTTGCCACAGAAGGTGCACAGGTGTCTCTTTACCTGGTTGTGGCACTTGAGGTGACGGTTGAGCATGCGCTGCAGGCGGAAGCCTTTGCCACACAGGTCACAGCTGTGAATCACTGAATCATTGCACGTGCCTGTGGTGTACTGGGAGCAGAGAGAGGTCATGAGTGTCCAGGGAAATTACTTGAGGGACCTGCCTCCCTGTGTCTCTAGGTTTGCCTGGTAGTGGTGGCTTCTTCCCCCTACAACTTCCAAGGGGGCTTGGTTTTGGAGAAGGAGAAACAGTAACTGGCAGATCCTTCTGATGCTCATTTTCCCCTTCTCTCTTAGAAGAGACCTCTGGTTTCTAGCTGTGCATGCTGTCTTACAACAGCCTTACAACAAGATGTGACCATTTGACCAGCTGGCTGATTAAATAGAAATTTCCTTAAGGGGGAAAGAGTGGCTCCAGCTAGTTAAAGACCCAACAGCCACTTTGGATCATGAGGTGAAAGTAAGGGCTAAGGATGGAGAAGCAGAAGAAAGGAATCTGGCTCCTGTTGTAGATAACCCAACCGATTATTTCCTCCTTGTACCTCTGTGTGCTCCATCCATCAAGACATGAATCTGGGTAGGGCTTATGACCACTGGGACCAACAGAGTGCAGTAATAATGTGTCAGCTCCAGTTCTTAAGGGATTTTGCAGCTTCCACTGCTGCCCTCTGGGAAGCCAGAGGCCTTCTAAGAAGTTCAAGGCCACTATCTTCGGAGGAAGCCCGAGCTAGCCATGTGGAGAGCCAGAGGCCATAACACAGTGCCAGATATGGATAAAGCCTCCTTGGATCTTCTCACTTAACCCAGGGCTGCCACCAGCTCAGTGAGTGACCCCCGCTAATGCTATCCAGTATATACTGCTTAGCTGAGCGGTGTCCAGTTTCTAATCTACAAAATCAAGATCAAACAAAATGATCACTTGGGGAAGTGATTCAGTCAAGACCTCACAGCTTCATTATGTGTAAAATCAAAATCACCAAATTCAACCTCCACTGGAATTGCAGAGGTTTTTCAACTGCATTTGCTGGCTCTAGGAAGGAAACTGAATCTCTAGCTATATAATGAAAAAATGCAGATCTGATAGATTCAAAAGTTACCAGATCAGATGCTTTAGAAAATGGATTCATTGCTCTACTGAAATTCTGTTCCCCTAAGGGCATCACTCCCCATTCTCTGTAACCTGGAGCTGGTAAGGACTAGGCTCCACATTTCATAAGTCAGGAAATAGACTAGGGGTGTAGCTCAATGGAAGGGTGCTTGTTTAGCATGTGTGAGGACTGGGATTGATCTTTGGCACAGATATATCCCACTGCAAAGAAAAGCTTATCTTTATTTAATCATCATTAGCAGGAAGAGCTGGTCCTTTCCTGGCTCCACACTAGCTTCAAATATCTTCCTCTCATCATCTTAGAGGAGGTATTGCCTCCTCGAAGACCCGGCTCAACTGCTCCCTGGCTGATACCACCTTCTCCAAATATGGCTGCCCATGCCCAAACTGTTCTTCACTATCCCCCTTAAACTAGTGCCTCTCAGAGGGTACCCACATTCAAGGGAATTCCAGGGAGATTATTAAAATGCAGACTCTGGTTCAGGAAATCCAGTAGAGTTTGAGGTACTGCATTTCTAGCCAGTGCCCAAGAGTTGCTCCTGTAGATGGTATTTATGGCACTTGAAAAGTGGGTAGCTCAGTTGTAGAGTGTTCGCCTAGCATATGCAAGGCCATGGATTCACTCCTTAACACTTAGAAAAGAAAAAGAAAAAAGCGAGGCTAGACTAGAACACTAGCCCTGAGTTCAGTAGTCCTCCTTTGGCATCCTTTGGGGATTGATGCCAGGACTCTCTGAAGATACCAAAATTTGTAAATGCTCAGGCCCCTTATGGTGTAGTTTTTACCAATGTACAACCTCCTATATAACTTAAACCATCTCTAAATTACTTATAATATCTAATACGATGTAAATGCTATATGAATAGTTGTTAGACATATTGTTTAGGTGACATTGGCAAGAAAAAAAGGTCTAGGGCTGGGAATATAGCTCAGTTGGTTCAGTGTTTGCTTCACATGCACAAAGCCCTGGGTTCAAACCCCACAGTGCACGCGCGCACACACACACTCCACACACAAGTCTATACATAATTCATTACAGACACAAAGATTTTTTTTTAAATATTTTTAATAGGCAGTTGGTTGAATCCACAAATGTAGAAACTGCCGACAGAGACGGCCGGCTGTACTCCAATCCACTTCATTCCAGAGGTTTCATTAGGCACACGGGTTCCTTTAGAGTTCACACGGTCTCCTCAACTCAAGGCCTTGAGGACAGTCACTAGTGTCCACTCACATTCCTACCTCCCTCCTCCCTTCCCAGCGCCTCAAGGCTAGCCCTGGGCAGGTGCAGTCAGTAAGTGTTGACAGGCAGCTGGGAACAGATGGCAGGATGCAGGAAGTCTGGAGGGAAGCACGAGACCCCAGAACAGGGTTTTCTAGTTTGCCTCCTCCTCTTTTTTTTTTTTTGGTGGTTATGGGAATTGAACCCAGGGCCTCACACAAGCCAGGCAAGTGCTCTACCACTGAGCTACACCCTGGCCCTTCAGTTCTTTCTCATTTGCTTGGAGTTTAATTTTTCTCAGTTAACACTGAAGTGGTCGGTCTGAAACAAGCCCTGTGCTCAGTCAGTGGTTGATCTGAAACAAGACGGCTCATTGCCACTGTCTAGCGGGAAGCAGAGAAGTCATCAGGCAACTGAGATCAGACAGGCCAGAGGCACCTTGGGCAAGCACCAACTCCAGATGCGGAGGGAGTCCTGGGGAAGATGCTTCCAGAGAAAGAGGGCCCCTCAGCCATGCAGCGATGAGGAGGAACACAGGTAAATGGCAAAGAGTGTTCGGGGAGAGGAGAGTGGGAAACAAGGGACTATGTGTGGTTCAGTGGGGGCAGCCAGAGCCTGGAAAGTATTTAATGGAGAAAATAACAGTAATGGAGAGAGGTAGGATCCCCTCAGGGATCTACCTGGGCGACCCTAATGGAGCTGAGATATATATAGGAGGGCACCCCTGGAAGGCAAAGGATAGTCTCAGGGGTCAAGTTGGATGACCCAACTGGTTGGCCATCTTGGACCCTCTATTGGCACACGGGGAAGTGCTGCTGCCCTGCCTCTCCCAGAGAGGAAGGGGCTGCCTCTGGCCTGAGGAAGACCCAGCCATGACCAAGGTTTTCCTGGCACCAGGACATGGTCTCCTTGTCCGGCGATTCCCATCCAGATCACTACCTCCCTTCAAGGGGTTTCTCAGAGAGGAAACGTGTTCCACAAGTACTTTGAGCTTCTGACGGTCTCATCCACATAAGGTAAAGGTAAAGTGAGAGATAGTGAGGGGCTAATGAAAAAGAATAGAGACAACTCACCCTCCCTCACAATTCCAATATAAAGTCTGTAAAACTCCAGGGCTGTCTTTTTTAAAAAACATTTTGTACCTCCATTGAATCTAGGGGTGCTTTACCACTGATCTTTACATCTCCAGCCCTTTTCATTTTGAGTGAAGGTGTTGCTGAAGTTCTCCCGGGTGGCCAAGGCTAACCTTGAACTTGTGATCCTCCTGCCTCACTGAGTCACTGGGATCATAGGCCTATGCCACTGTATGCAGCTCCTAGAGCTGAACTGTCTTTTGAATGTCTTGTCAACCACAATTAAAACCTGAACACTTGTTTACTTTTTATTTACCTTAATCTTTTTGATAAATTCCTTTTATTTTTTTTCCCCTTGTGTTGCTAGGGATCAAACTCAAGTCCCCTTGCATGCTAGGCAAGTACTCTACCACCAAGCTACGTACCCAGCCAATACTTTTCTCTTTTTCTCCTTTTTTTTTTTAATCCCTCTAGTATAGGGACTGAATCAAGAAGTGTTCTACCACTAAGCTACACCCCTGTTCTTTTTATTTTATTTTGAGGCAGGGTCTCACTAAATTGTCCAGGCTGGATTTCAACTTGTGATCCTTTAGCCTCAGCCTCCTGAGCAGTCAAGATTACAAATGTGCACCACCATGCCCAGCTTTCCTGTGGTTCTCCTACAGCAGACGTTGAAATTCTCCAAGTATCCTGCAGCAGAGGTTATTTTCCCATTTCTCCATCTTTTTGTAAACCCTACTTCCTGGCATTGAAAACAGCCACCACTGAGACTCCTTTAGGGAATTCACTGGGAGGTACACCCTACCATTCACAAAGCACTGCATGCCACCCTTATGACCAACACAGCCACCAGATGTTAACAAATTATATTGAAAGCCTAGAGAGAGACGTGTTCAAAGAAAATGCAAGGTTAGTTAAGTGGTAAAATACTATGGTTGATGAAGAAAGCTTCTGCCAGACTATCAGCAGGCCTGCCAAACTATTTCACTTCTCAGAAAGAAAGGGATATTTGCAATATAAATTCCTAAATAAAAAATTTATTCCAAAAAGTGTATTTCACATCTTGTGCCTTGAAATTTGGTCTGTGATAACAATAGCCTGAAAACTACTTATATGTCCATCAGAAGGTACTTATTAAAAAATGATGGTAGACCCACTCAATCAAAGCAACTAGGAAAAGACTGGAGACAGGGGCAGTTAATATCAACTGCCAATCCTCTGAGTGAGCCCTCTTGGATATCTAGTGTAGGGAAGGCCCTGGAAGACTCCGGCCCCAGCTGCCGTCTAGCTGCAATCATAAGATAAATTCCCAGGTAAATTACTGCCCAGCTGAGCCTTTGCAAGTAGAAGACACAATATAGATTATTTTTAGTTACCAAATTTGGGGTTACTTGTGTATCATGACTGGGTAAACTAGAACAGTAATAAATGTATCATATTCTTTCCAGAATACCAGATCTGCCACATTTCATAAATACTTATTTATTTATTTGATTACTTACTGTATTCATTTTGGTGCTGGGGATGGAAGCCACAGCCTTGTACATGCTAAGCTCATTCTCTACCACTAAGCTGCACCCCCAGCCCAGATCTACCACATTTCTGGAGTTCTCTCCCAGGATGGGATGCATGACACAAAACATTTTCTGATTCCTGGAAGGACATCACTTGAGCCAGAGGACCAATTCTCCCTCCCCAGGTCACATAT